CTTTCCCCGAGGGCGGAGGGGCTGCCCGCGCCCCAAGTTGTAATGCTGGTGCGGCATTAGGGCTCTGCTGGGCTTCCGACTCTTCCCGCAGTCGGGCAGAGCAGGAATTTTGTCCAGTAGGCAAAAAAAAAAAAAAAAAAACCAACAAACACCACCACACCAAACCCAAAACGAAAATGCAGTGAGCTCTCAGCCTCTCACAAATGATTACCTCAACAGGTTTCCAGTTCCCAAGATGATGGCAGTGTAACTTACAAAATTTTTCCATTGAAGAAGCTGTTTTGAAAGCAGAAATATGTAGAGAAGTACTTGCTTCTGGATGGCATCTACATTCTCATATGAACCTATGAGAGGTAGGCATGTGTGTTATGAATGAAGGTGTATATACACGATTAGCTAAAACATTGTTTTTTTCAGAATTTAAGGTGTTTTCTAAGGCAGTATGAAAACTCAATGTGCTTCTTTATTGATCTGCGGAGCTGGGATTTCAGGATGTACGCAGCAGTATGTTGCTAATCATTGTGTTGGGGCTTTTTTGACATTTGACTCAGAAAATTTATATTACTGCTGGGTTTTTTTCCCACCTATATCAGCAAAATGTTCCTTAGAAATTTTAAGCAAGTATTTTAAGAGCATCTGCAGGTTTCATTGGGTTTGTTTACTTAAAAGATTGGTTTACAACATTTGCTATACCCAGTTGTTTTCCAGTGTTCAAGTCTTTACTCAAAGGTGAAATTCTAGTTCACGTTGCCAAGGCTGTGGCAACACAACACTCAGGTACTGACGGTTGCAGGACCCCCTCATCAGACAAACTCTGGAGCTAATCTCTTTCTCTGATTCAGTCCCTGACAGAAGAAATGCAGCATTTTGTGTTGCTGCATCTGTTCTGGCTACATATTACTGTTAATAATTGTGAAAGTCTTTAGGATCTGATTAATATGCCAGTTGCTAAAGATCAGGATTGTCAACTTTGGGCTGAATATGTGGCAGCTGCTGTACGGATACAGCGTAACTAAGTCTCATTAAAGTAGTGGCAATTTTTGTTTTGGGGGTTGAGGTTTTTTTGCATTTTAGGGTTGTTGGGTTTGTTTTTTTTTTCCTCGTAACTGGAGGTAGGGACAAGGAACAGTTGGCAAATTCCCTGATAAATATTGATGCCTGTGGAGGAGAAGCAGAAAAAGGATCCAGTTTTTCTAACTGCAAGGATTTCTGGATATAAGCTGGATAACATAAGCAGCAGTTATTTATTCCAGCAGCAGGCAATTCAGGGTGTGACTACAGAGTTTAATCCAATCTAAATCTAGACTGCTGCAGTCCTGCCCACGGCTAGTCTCATGTTCCCACTGCCTCCTTGTGTTGGTAGTAGTGCTCAAGCAACCTCGCAGTGAGCTAGCTCCAGTTTTAATTTTGGGGTTGTTTTTTTAGGGGGTTTGTTGTTGCTTTTTTGAGAAAGTAGGGAGCTACTTTGGCATGCTCCACTGGGTAGCATAGCAATGCTAATACCAGTACAAGTAAGCGTCAAAAATACAAGGCCAGAGATAGGGGCAGACAGGAGTGTCCTTTTCTGTGGCAGTGCAGACTTACATCACTGTTACATAACTGTGACTTCATGTTACCATTTCGAAGCCAATGCTGCCATTGAGCACAGGAGTTCTGTCTGCCTTTTGCCGAGTTTTCTGCTCCTGTGCTGGCTTCCTTGTGTTATCATGGCACTGGAAGTGGTCTGTGGAGCTGCTCTGCGTTAAAACTCACACAGCAAAAATACTTTTAGCATTTAATTTTAAGCTGGATTGGTTTGCTGGTACGGTTTGCAGTAAGGCTGGTTGTGCTGGAAGAAAGGGAAGGGTGAGGTGGAAACAGAAATGAATGTCTAGGGTAAGGGGGAATACAGGACCAATTCTTCTAGTTACAGTTCCATCTTAAAGTGTCACTAGGAATTATTTTTATTGCCCCTTTCTTACTGGATGGAGTCTGGATTTTAGGGAGCTACTAGTAAATTAGCTACCATTCTCCTTATTTTTCCCTACCAAGTAGAAAATCAGGTGCAATACGGCAGTTCTGCCCATTGGATCGATTACTTTTGGTAGCAGCAGTCCAGATAAGAGCAGAACTCTGTTAATACTCCCAGTCTCAATCAATCAGTAAGTAAAAGGCTGAGGGTTAGGTATAAATTTTAAATACTATTTTTCAAATTGAGATTGAATTTGCACGAATAAAATCAATGCTTAATTTTCTATGAACTCTGAGTCATACAGAGCTAAACCCCATTCCCTCTATCAGAAGCTGAGCATAGTCTTTTAAATCCCATTACATTCATTTTTTGAAGTTACCTTTTGTATGTCCAGAACATTGCCATTTACTAGATAAATTGTTACAAGCGTCTCTGGAGAATTCCAGAAAAGTACAAAATCTGCATTAGTGCAAACTCTGCAAGTTTTTAAAGAATGCGAGAGCACACTTTCAGTCCTTTTTGGCCATAACAATACCCTCCTCCAGTTCAGTACCCGACCCTGCAGTCAGCTGTAACATCTCATTTCATTCACTGAACTACGTAAACTAGTTCATTTGAAACTGAAAAAAAGCTTACCCATTTATTTAAAGCTGTTCCCCAGGTATTAGAATGAATATTTCAGTTAGTGGAGGGATATGCTTTGGGAGATGAAGGGGGTGGATGAAGTAGCCCGTGTTCCTAACAGTGTTTTGAGACAGTATGCGTGGGCCTGAGATTATGAACTACTGCACTGGTTTTGAGGGGGGGACAACACGACACAAAAGCAAACAAACAAAAAACAACAACAACAAAACAAAACAAAAAAACGCCAAAAAAACCCAAACAACTTTCATGTGAAACAATTTAGGCATTTTACACAAAACTTAGAAACTTGTATTTCAGTAATACTTGTTACATCAAAGGATCCCTAAATGATTCCAAGCTGTTAAAGAATGCACCTTGCCACCATTAAAGTACAGCCATGCTGGAGATGAGACACAATTGCTTTTGCAACACACGCGCATCATTAAAATATAGTTTGCAGGACAAGAAGGTGCGACATCCATACAGTATCTGCTGCACCCTCTAGCAAAGTCAAACCCCATTTCTGTATTCAGGCTTTATGATATGAAAGATATTCAAGAAGAAGAAAACATGAACAAAAGCTTCAAGCTGCAATCCTTAGAATTTTGACCAGGGTCCAAGACAAGCTACCCTCATACCCTTCTTGCTTGGCTTATCCTCTTCTGACCACGCCGTTTTCCTTAATGGTGCCTGTGGTTTATGCATAATCCCAGAAGACAGTGCGAGATGCTAGTGGCTGTCCGTACTGTGTGCTGTGAGGCAACCGTGCTTTAAATATCAGGAAAGGAGAGGAGTGTTACAGATTTTATTTTTTTCCTTAATGCTGGTACTTTGGGGTTTTGGGGTTTTTTTTTGAGACTTCATTAACCTGTCCTATACCGTACTTACATTATGAGAAATTTTGATGATAAAATTAGTTAGATATATTACTGTAGAAGCAAAAGACCTGTGTTTGCGAAGTTCACTCTGTCTTGAAATTCGAGTGTGTGACATTTAATAGTGTTGAAGTCTTACGTGTCAAAGTTTGTGAGCTGTAGTTTCAGGAATTGTTATTGAAATTGTTCACAAAGTGTAAAAAGTTGATAGTATTGGGTGCAAAGGTCTGAGTCTTGCTCATTCTTACTGGTTGGTATTACTGATTTTTAGATAAAAGATGTTTTAGTTCACTTTGTAGTGTTACTTGTGTTGCCATTCTCAAATGTGGCGTAGAATAGGATAGGTCCATGCGACCTAATGTTACTCATCTTTTATCTTTTTATTGCTTAATGTCAGAAGCTGAGGTTTGGTTTGGTTTAATGCTATATGTTATTTCACAATTGAGTAAACATTAAACTATTGGAAATGTCATAAAATCAGGTAACTGATGATCTGTACCAACTTGAAGTTTCAGTCCTCAAGCACTGTAAGCACACATACATTTATATATTCTGTACATCCAGAATTTGATTCAGAGCTAACCTGCTTTTATTTGGCTTTTGTTTAAACCTATCCCTGGACATGAAATTAAATATGGAGGAGAGCAGAGCTATAGTTCAAACTATTAGGTGAGTTAATGCTCAAACATACTGCGCGTATTACTTGAATTTGATGGTAATACAAGTGTTTTTAGTTACGTACCTCTGTTTCCTTAGCATTCTCTCTTTTTCCTTCTGATTACTTTTCAGGTCTGTTAACTTGACCATCTTTTCAGTGATGAAACAACATTGGGAATTATGGACAAAAACATTGGAGAGCAGCTTAACAAAGCTTATGAAGCCTATCGACAAGCATGCATGGATAGGGACCATGCTGTGAAAGAACTACAGCAAAAAGTATGTGTTGGGTTCTGAATTGTATCTCTGAAGCCATTCTTGCCATGGAGGATTGTGGTACCTGTACATTTCAGTTTCACTTTAGCTATGCGCACTTTAGTGTATCTGTTAAAGCTGGAAATTCCTGTTACAAAACCAGGCCAGTGCACTGCAGAGTAACTCATCAGGCTGTGAATGTAGTATGTGACTTTCAGGTTTTCAACCTTGAATCTTTTTGTAGTTTTAAAGGTGAGAAAAGTGTTCTCTGTTTTGGAGTTGTTAATGAAGTCTTTTAATGTAAACAGCAAAGATGTGTTCAAAATTTACCTAGCTTTAAGTACTTTTTAAAATTTAATTTGCTTTATTAAAAAAATACTTTTAAAATTATTAATGTAAATAGCTTAATAATTTTTTTCTTACTAGGAAGAAATTAAATCACTTTTATGTTAATAGGAAGATATGCCATATGAATTTCTAGTTTACTTGATGTAAAGTCAAAGACTAACATGTTAAGCACTGTGCAAGCTATTAGGACAACAGTTTTTGTGTTGAAACATTTACAGCAAACTTACCTTAAAATTATTAGAATAAGTATTGATTTTTTTATTTAAAAATCATCTGTACAATTATTCTTCAATTATGACGTAATAGAAAGATTCTGGAGGCATTCTAACCAGTAAGAAGCACCTTTAAATTTTTACTTAGTCTGTTGTAGAACACATTCCTTCAGCCAAAACTGTTCCAGGACTTCTCATCACGTTTGCCAGCATGTTGCAAAGCTATCAGTTTTGGGCTTTGTCATACTAATTTTATCGTGAGTATTCTGCCCAGCGGTGGAACCTCTGGTATAGGAAGGCTTGAATGTTTTTGATGCTCCGGGACTTTCTGATACTTCCGTAGAACTGGTAGGCTGGGACTTTGTTCAGGGGCAGATGAACCATACTTGATGTCAAGTTATGGAAGTAGTAGTAGAATTGGTAGGGGGGAAAGGTCTGCTTGAGAATATTCTGATATCTGGGCACAATCTTGCCATCCCCTTCCACAGCAAAATAAACTAGCCAAGGCACTGCGGAACAGGTGTCAAGCCAGTTGTATATGCAGACATCCACGGTGCAGTCAATCTCGATTCATTGTTGCAGCAGTGCTAGTGCAAATCTGTAGTGTTTTCTGTACTTAACAAGCACAAATAGTGTGTCAATACGTTTTGTGCTAAAATTACAACTACCTGAACAAAAGGCAACACATTTTAGAATGTTTGGGAATCTTTTAAATTCTGTCTCTTATGATGAACAATGAATTATTTGAAGGAAAACCAGTTAAGTTAGTACTTGTGGGCCACCTAACAGTACGTGAAAGAAACTTCTGCCCAAGCAACAAGACGTCAAGTACAAGGTCAGATAGCCCTTCTAAAGTCTATGGAAGAAAACCGGAGAAGTGTGTGAGATCATCAGTGTTAAGGGAACTAAATGCTTGCAAGACTTCTCTGAATTTTATCTGGTTCAGAAATTAAAAATTAAAGCCTTTCATAAAGGATTACTGCCAGTTCAAATCTTTATCATAATCAAACTTTCAGTAGTTGGATTTCATGACTCCAAAGGAGAACAAAAGTATTTTTTCAAGAGTTGATACTGTAATTACTTGGTGGGGTTTTGTTTGTGTTGTTTTTCAGGTTTTTTAACCAAACTCCTGTTTTTTTTAATAACCTTTGTACAGTGCTTTACTCTAGTAACTTCCTCTGTTCATTGTGTGGCCTTCACACATTGTTGGATTGTCCACCATTCTGTTGTTAACAGTTTACTACTTAAGTTACCGATAGGCCACTTGTTTTGCCAGTCTCTAGAGCTGGGAGCCATGTCAAGCACACAGAAGCCAGAGTCATCTCGGCCAGATGGTGTTTGATACAGATGGATGGTTGGTTGTCATGCAGATCTCCTAGTTGGTAACTTGTTGCTGCCATCTGACTCAAGGAATAATTTGTGCACACTGGCTGTCAAAAGCATCTTCTCTTCTGTCTGTTTTAGCTGTCATGTCTGTGCTCTGTACAGAAGTGTTGACAAGACATTGCTGTTGTACATTTTCAATTTGGTTCTCAGTGATTTTTCTGCTTCATGAGGTCTCTTATAGCTGCTGGAGTGTACTGCTCTTTGATCACTCTTTTTTTTTTTTTTTCCTTTTTTTTTCTTTTTTTTTAATAAACTCTCGTAATACAAGTACTACCTGGCCTTTTAAAATAAATTTTGCTTGTAGATTTTTTTCCTGCCTGCTTTACAGACAAACACACTGGGCAGTAGGGGGGTGTGGAATTTAAATGTGATTTGAGAGATTTGAGAATTGGATAACAGTATGGATAATCTATGAATAGACATGAAAACAATGCCTAGTCCTGTCCCAGGTTGTGACCTGTTCAGTAATAGACATATTCTTAATTTCAAAAAAAATCCTTACATTCCTGCAAGTTTCCTTGCTGGGACTTTACAAGTTTTCTTACTTGTTTTTTAGCACTACTGTAAGTGCAACATTAGGCATGTGAAAAAATAGGTTTGGAATATTAGCATCTTCCTGCCACCTGATCATTTGTTCAATTAACTGGCTGTCTAACAGTATTTATACACTTCAGTGAAATGTGAGCAGTCTTATTAGTGTCTGTGCAGCCTGTTTATAGCATTAGATGGAGTACAGCTAGATGAAGAATGGGGCTGTTTCCTTGCTTTCCTCCCCCTGTTTTCTAGGTTAGAAAAACAAATCTACTACGTTCAAAGGCACAGGCAAAACTCTGTTCTTAGGCAATTAAAGTTATTCACAAAGTATCTGTTGTATGGAATAAGCAATGTTGTTTTATTGAAAGCCTATTTTTATATAATTTATTTGTTAGAAAATATGGGGGAAGAAAATTACAGCTTTCTATAGATAAACTAACTGACCAGCATTCCGAAGAATACTGAAATTCTAATTTTAAACCTGATGTGTTCTATGGCTTTTAATGAAGAATCCTAGGTTAAAAGTTATCCTATCCTTTACAACTGCCTAGGTTGAAAGAGTTGCTGAAAATCAGGATTTATTTCCTATAATGCCTTTTCTAATCAGTGCAGTCTCAAAAATAAGGACTTGCCAAAGGTGACTGTAGTTGAGTTTTCACACAGAGGTCCACAACTACAATTATCTTTAAAAGAATCAGAGCTGCTTTTTATATGCCAAATAGGAGACCCCTAGTCAAAACAGAATAAGATTAATGCTAATTAAATTATATTTGCAGACAGAAAACTACATGCAGCAAATACGTGAACAGCAGGAAAAGATAGAGCTTCAAAACAGCATTATTGCAAAACTGAAATCACAGTTAGCTGCTCTGAATGCTAATAGAGGTATGTACTCCAGTTTGCACGTTATTTCTTATTATGCTGTGTTGCATTGATGAATAGTTCTGACTTTGTTGCTTCAGTTTTTACAACGTACATGTCTTAAAGCTGTATCATACTTTTCTGTGAACGTGAGAGTTTACACAAATGTGCAGTTTCAGAATCTATTTATAAAATGCAACACTTCTGAAGTGTCTCTTTATCCTCTTCAAGAAATGGTGAGATTTTCTTTAGAGGTAGAACCTGCTTACACTGAAGCCAATAAAAGTTATGAAAATATGGGTTCAAATAATTCACTAGAATTAAGACCAGAATTGTTACATATTAATTTTACAGTTACCTGTTAATAAGTTTAGCTTGGGTTGTTCTAGGTGTGAGTGCTATGGTTATATGTCTTGTGATGCTAATCTTATTGGATAACCATAGCTTTGTAAGCAAGTAATTCTCTTTCAAATCAAATAGACCTTGATGGATAATTTTCTTTCCACTGTTTGACTCTATTACACAAATAGGAGAAAAGAGTCAAAGTAACCATGTGTTAATCTGCCATGCTCATTAAATATTTATTCACACTAGCCTAACACTCCTGGTTTTCATAAATACTAGCAAAGTGGTTGGCTTTTACATTTAAGAGTACATGTACATTCTTTATTGCTGGTTTCATTTTCCGTTGTCTCTAAGCTCAGAATTGGGCTTCTCTTACTTGTTTACGATGAAGCCTTGCTCAAAGAAAATAAAGAAGTTAATATAAGCCTAGCTTCTTTTCATTTTGCTTGTACTTAGAAGCTGGCTGGGGAAAAATGCAGTGACAATCAGCTGCTTTTTTTTTAAGGTAACGCGCAACCCTACGTTCTGGTGCATGAAGACATTGAAACCTCCAACTTATCTTTCAGCCAGCTTTCTGAAAAACTGAACGTAGCAAAGCAAAGAGAAAAACTTTTAAAGGTATGGTCACCTATAGTATGTTTAACACAAGATCACATTTGTGCTGTGATTATAGTATAAGAACCTAAAGAGATAAGTGAGATTTTTACTGGTGCCTTTGAACTGCACTTCTATTAGAAGATGCTCACCTGAAGTGCATGAGTGTTGTGCCACTGTGGTTTACTTAGGTGAGGATCTAAGCATCTATCTTTGATCCTCCCCACTGCAATTGCTGTTTGGCCATCAAGCTCCCTAAAATAGCTGGTTCATAAGGTAGGAATTTACTTGCTTATTTATTTCTTAACCTGACAAAACCGGTGGTCAAGAAGGGGCTTTCTCTCACAAGAGCTTTCTACTTTGCAACCAGTCTGTGTATTTTTGCAAGAAATAAAGAATCTGCACTCAAAAAGTGATGGAGTGGAAAGTGAGCTATCCATCGTTCTGGAGATGCTTATGATTTGTTTGGTTTTTTAAATAGCCGACTTTAATACGATGTGTCTTCTGCCCCCCTTCACTGAAGTAACACTGAGATTTTCACTACAGCCTGTTGAGAGGAACAGGAATAAGCATAAAGCAATAGTGCGGGATAGATGGGAAATACCTTCAATGTATTTTGCATATAGAGAAAAGGCAGCAACAGAGACACACAAAGTTGCATTGTCCTTATCCTAAGTCATCCTACTGTGTTTTTTGAGAACTTTCTTGTGACATAAAATCTCTTATTTTTTAATATGAGTCTCCAGAGTAGGCACTTTGTAAGGGTCATAAAAAGACCCTTATATGAAATCAGGCACTGTATTTAAAAGGAATTAATTTCAGGATTTGTTTCCTAAACCTGAGCTATAAACAAATTAATTATGCTGAATTCACAGAAATACATTTTTTTATCAGAAATGTTGATTTAAAAATAATTTCTTTGGATTACTGGTGCTTGCTTAAATATCTTGAAGGAATCTCATTTGAGACTAAGCCTTTGCAGACATTTTAAACATACTGTTACCAAGAATTTATATATACTCCTGTTTATTTCAAAAAAAGTCTTTATATAATTTTTCTACACTAGAATCTGTAATCACAAGATGTCATTTCTTTCCTAATCTTTGCATTTATTTGGAATAAAACACAGCTGAAGGGTTAATTATTTGATGGACCATCTTTGCATATTTTTACATTTCTCTCTCTTGAGTTGGATAAAAATTAGGTCTTACACAGTTGCATGTGGAGACCTGACCAAATTCATGCTCTTGCTTCTGAATCCTTTCTCAAGGACAATAGTTTTAAGTAACTTAGACATATAATGAGTAGGAGAAAGGAAGCTGTTATCTGCCTTTCTTGTGGGGAAACACTGAGAAATTATGTGATCTATACAGAAGGTTGCAGGCAATGCATGAGAAGCTGGAATCATAATTTCAGAGGCTATTTTCTTAATGGAATGAAAGATGTTTGTCTTTATCTGCATTTTTTTGTGTAGTCAGTTATTGCAGTTACCTCTCAGAAATAGGTAGTTCATCTGGATTTTGCCTGATCTGTTCCATGAACAGAAGTATTTCTGATATAACTCCATGCAGAATCAACTATACAGTCTGTCTACATTTAAACCCAGGCACAGTGCTATACAAATAAGGTATTTCAGAGAGTATCAGTAGAGATCTAAACCCACACCGAGTCAGGCTGACCTAGCCTACTTTGTGTTCCTGTTACTGGGAATGTAGTAGCTCTCCAAGTGTTGAGAGCATGGAGCTTGAGGAAAACATGTTTCACTGGACCAGGGCTGGCTTCTGCAGAGGCACGTGGATACCTTTGCACTATCCCTCCAATATAAGGAGGACCCTGATGTTTGGTGTTGTGCATGGTAAGCTTCTGCTAACCTGACACAAAGATGTCCAAACAGCACAGCAGAGGTACACATCCTTCTGTTAGCTCTGGCAGTGTTTTGACCATGCCATTCATGGGCTGGCTGTGCACGGGGATACACAGCAGTCTCTGTACACAAGTCCTCATTTTATTGAATGAATTCAGGGGAGGAGAACCATATAACCCAAACTTCCTGTTGAAGATGATGGAAAATTAGTTGTATTGTGAGAAATGCTTTATATGTCTTTATGGCAGCTGCCAATTTTTACACTTTTTAAATGTAGAAATTTTGGTGTATGATGGATAAAAAAGGTAAACTGCATGGAATGAGTGTAAGGAACAAGTTGGGGAAAATGAACAGTAGCGAATCACCAGGACAACATCAAGTTAACCTGAGAGTTCTCACTTCTCTGTCTTTCTGAATAAATTTAGTTTAAAAAAAAAAAAAAAAAAAGGCAAAAGGAGATGATTCTTCACAGGATAGGTAGTCAACCAGTGGAACTTCCTGCTTTGAGGGAAAATTGGATAACTTCATGGAAGAGAAATCTGTTGAGAATTAATACATACATAGAAACTACTACTAAGAAGGTCTGGGAATTTATTAAAGAATGTGTCATGAATGCCTCCTGTTTTCTTGTACTCTTCCCTAGACATCATATTTTGACCAAAATCCCATCATCCTGTCACTGATCCAGTATAGTTGTCTTATATCTAATTCAATAAAGTATTGGGGTTTTCAGCTATTGAAATTTGGAAGCTCAAATATTCTATTTGAAAGCCTGTATTTTTCTAATCGTATTCTATCTACCTTCTGCTCTAAACCAAGTAAGTTATGTCTGTGGCCATTGTCCTCTGCTGCATTAACTGCTCTATTCTACTTCTCCACCAAAAATTTCAGGCTTGCAAAATGTACAGTTCCAGATAATAAATTATGATTACGGCCTTTAAGTTAAAATGTTACTGTTTCTTCCTGTCCTTCCTTGAAACTCAAGTGTATCTCCTGTGGCTGGAGGTGCCTGGATTTATCGATACCTATTGACACAGTCTATTGCTAAATCAAATGGGATCTCTCAGTGGACTATATTCTGTCCTCCACTAAAGTTGATAGAAATCCTGGACTGATGGTCATAGGTGCATGGCTAGAGCTTAAATTTTAGAGGTTTAAAATGAGGAAGGGGTTGGCTTTTCTATGTTTTCTAGTAGGTAGCCATACTTGTGTATTTTACCTGCTGTTGTCAAATTCTGTTGCCAGTGTGTCATAAAATGTTCTGTTAGTTTTTGGGGTTTTTTTTTATTGTTTACATTAATCTTTACTGAAATAAGTGAGTGGACCAGATTGACTTGGTGGTCACTACCAAACAGTGTACAAGATTATCAGAATTTTTCCAGTCCCCTGCTTGAAGAGACCAAAGGGACCTAAATTGCTGCCTGGTTTTGAGTAAAGCCTGGCTAAACTTTATTAACTAGGAGCAATGTGGATCCAGTTACTGGTTCAGAGCCAAAGCTGTCCAGCAAACAGAAAACCTTAGTAAGCAAGGCTAGACAATGTCAAGTAAACCTTCTGCATGCTATTTTTAGTACAGTCAGACATCAGAATCCTTGTAAACTCCATAAAACACAAAGCTAAAGTCATACCTGCGACAAGAAAACATGCTCACGTTCATATTTTCCTGGGTCAAGAACCTCAGTATTAAGCACTGCATGGAGTTTATTGATGGCGATGAAAGAGAGGAGGAAACTGTGTCAGGAATGAATGAAGCATATGGTATGCAAAACTGCTCATTCTGCAATAAATGTTCAGGTCTTTTTTGTGCAGGACATAAGCAGAGGAATGGCAAGAGTTATGGTAGTCATCTTTGTGCTCAAAATTACAGTGCTAAAATGACTTGCATCACTCAGAGCAGCTACTGCAGCAGTCTCGTAGAGTTGTGTGTTCCACTCAATACCAGCTTCTCTAGTGTCACTTTGTTTCCTATGCTTTGATGCAAAGAAAGCTGTAGTTCATGATTTTGTGCTAGTTGACAGTTTTATGCATTTAGCTGTTCTTTGTTGCTGGTACGATGTATGCAGTAGGACTAGTTAGGGCCTGCTACCTGATATAAGAAATTCCAGCATCAATGGCCTTTTTTCTTACTGCTTCACCTGTTTAAGCTATCTCTACCCAATTGTCTATGTTTAGCCTGTACCCAGGGCTAAGCTATAACAGTTGCTCTGTCACCCAAGGACCCCTCACCAGCCAGGAAGGGGAATCGGGAAAAGGAGGAGACCCCTGGGTTGAAGTGAAAACAGATTTAATGAAATAGCGCTAGTACCAACAAAGGTATACAAAGTTATACTCAGCCACATGAATACGCAGTGGTCACAACAGGAGATCAGTCCTCAGGAGTGGGGAAAAGACAAAGAAGGAACAAGAAGAACCCCACAGAAGCTCCCCTTCCTCAGCCAACCTTCCCCCTTTATAATGACCATGACATTATGGTATGAGCTACACCTGGAGCTGACTCAGGGCAGCTGCCCTGGCTGACTTGAGCCTGCCGACAGCCTGCCCAGCATGGCTGGGATTCTAACCCAGCCAAGCCAGGAAGCCAATAATAAAGAGTGTGGTTAAACTATTAAAAGTTACAGTTAATATTTCCTGAGACCACTTATAGTAGTTCATCAGCTGAATAGTATTTTTCCTTGAAACCATCTGGCACTTTGTTTATTCTAGGAAGCCACTGAAACAGGCTGTTATAGCACACTTCAGGGAAGAATAAAAGGACCTGCCTTTGCAGCAGTACAGCCTGGGGACTGACTGGCTGTGGAGCAGCTCTGCTGGAAAGGAGCTGGGGTTTTGTTAGACAGCAAGCTGAACATGAGCCAGCAGTGTGTCCTGGCAGAAAAGAAGGGCAACAGCTTCCTGGGCTGTATTAACAGGAGCACAGCTAGCCCACCCAGGGAAGCGAGCATCTCCCTCTACTCAGCATTCATTGGACTGCATCTAGAATACTACATCTGGTTTGGGGACCTCCAGTACAGGAAAGACATTGATAAACTAGAGTGAGTTCAGCAGAGGCCCCACTGAGTACATATGCCATGAGAAGAAGCTGCAGAAACTGAACTTGTCCGGCCTGAAGAAGAGATGGCTTCAAGGGAAGCTAATAGCTTTCCAATACCTATGTTGCGGTTATCAGGCAGATGGAGCCAGGCTCTTAACGATGGTGCATGACAAGAGGATGAGAGATAATGGACAGTTAAAACATGAAAGGTTCAGACTGTACATAAGGGAAAACTTTTTGCCTTGAGGACAGCCAGACATTGGAAAAGGTTGCCTGGAGAGGTTGTGTAGTCTCCATCCTTGAAGAATTCAAGACCAAACTAAGTAACCTGATCAGACATTGTAACTGACCTTGCTTTGATTAGGAGCTAGAGAAGCCTTGAGGCCCTTGCAACTTGAATTATCCTCTGATCCTGTAAAGCCTCTCCAAAAGAAAAGAAGCTGATCTGTTCGTAATACAGATGTAACCTATTTAACTGTCTGCTGATACCAGTATGCTTAAAAGATCCATTGCATGGCCAGGTACCTAGCTGAGCAGTTACGACCTGTGTGACTTACTTATTTGTCATGACATTAGCTTTATAAACTTCAGCCAGTTTATAAATGTTAGCACATTGTTGCAAGCACCCAAACTTAGTCAGTATTAGAAACTGTAAGATCATCAAGCTATGAAGAGCTGTATTATTGGAAGATCCCAAAAGGTGTAATCATTTCTTCAGTGTATTTCCTGGTGTGATATGCTGTTGGGGCACAAGAGTGATGACTTACATCAGTATGTACGGATATATCTTCACCGTAACATGTTGCATGGCTCTTCTCACATTGGTTCCCATGTGGCTTTTCTCACTGTTTGCTTAAATCTTGTCCCCACTTCCTGCAGGAATGTAGAAGAAATGGAAGAGAAGTAATGGCCATTAACTGCAATGCTCCCAGTTATCTGAAAGCTTTTGAAAGCCCACATGTTATTTGGAGCTGTAATAGTCCCATACAGATGACTTATGTGCGTGCAGACCAATGCTGTATCACAGGCTCAGTGAAAGAGTTATTTTACTGTCCTTAAGATGGAGTTCTTTGTTGGCAAGTGTTGTCTTTGACATAAGCTTTTTCCTAGGTGTTTGGATTTCCAGCAAATCCTTTTCAAAGGTAAATACAGGAGAAGCTGCGTCCCATTGGGTTTTTAAATGAGAAATGGTATTTGACCATGGAATGGTCAGACTAGATATAAGGAAGAATTTTTTTACAATGAGGGTGGTGAAACACTGGAACAGGTTGCCCAGAGAGGTTGTAGAAATGCCATCCCTGGAAACACTCAAGGTCAGGTTGGACAGGGCTCTGAGGAACCTGATCTAGTTGAAGATGTCCCTGCTCACTGCAGAGAAGTTTGGACTAGATGGCCTTTGAAGGTCCCTTCCAACCCAAACCATTCTATGATTCTGATGTTTGGGAACCCTGTGACCAAATAATGGCTCGGTGGTAGCTTGGGTTCTGCAAACCCACACCATAGAATAGCCCTGGCCATCCCGTTCCTGCAGTGGCAGAAAGCAGTTCCCCATGCTACAGCTACTGTGACTTTGTAGTCTTTAAAGAACATGGAAAAGGTATACAGTTATAAAATTATGTTCAGCATCTGGCCCTGCTATAACTTTCTTCAAAGTATTTTCAGATCTGTTAAGAATACTTTTATGCATGTCTCCATCTCCTTTTAACATAAATTGTTCTTTCTTTCCCACATCACTAGAGATGATTGTCTTTCTCATTCATTGGATACTTCCTTAACTTGCTTTGAACTTTGTGTGCCATAGTTCTGTATTCCTTCCTAGTGTTCTTGTTGTTCCATTTGAGAAAATGAAATCTAGCTGCTGTAGCATCAGTTATAGAAGTTGATGTGTGGGTTCTTTAGCCTAAAATCTTCAGTCTTCTTATTTGGCTTTTTTTTTTCCAGAACTACATCAAAAAATCTTTCTCTTTTTTTTCTCTTTTGCTGTTTGGTGTTTTGTGGTTGTTTTTTTTAATCTGCTTCCCTGGATCCTTACCCACTATGATGTATACAGATTTCACACTAAAAAGAGTATAGAAAGTGTTTCATGATCTGTCCCAGGACTATACATATATGCCCCACACCACCTGCCAGAAGTGCAAAGCATGGAAGAAGGGTTAGGATTAAGGACATGTTTTGAACCCACTGAGCAGAAGAGGCTTAATCCGCATCCCTGAGATAGTACCCAAATATAGAGTTGCACTGAACCTCTTACCATAGGTTTACTATTCAAGCTCACTGTTCAAAGAAAAATACCAATGCCTCCAAAGCCGTTTTTCTGCATTTTTTTAATCCAGCAAATACAGTTTTTTGAGGCTGAACTGTTGTGTCAGCTGCATATAACACATTCATGCTTAACCACCCGGTGTCTCTGTAGACCAGCTCTGGACCCGTCCCTACATGGCTGTCATTGTCTAGCAGAGTAGACCCTACCTAGCTAATCTCTAAATGCACAACCTCACCCTATTTAGGTCCCATATGTAAATACAAGTGTTCTTGAAAAAGCACTTACTTGCTTCTTTCCTTTTCACCTTGCCCTACCTGTCTACAGACTGTCTTACTGCATTTCACTTACATTACTTCTTGCAGAGTTAACCCTTTGGGTTTACTTCTCTTACAGAGACAGACGTGGGGCTTCAGGCCACTTTTTGTGACGCTTGATACAGTTTAACATCAGTGTTTCTATAGATTTTGGAAACTGACCACTGTAAGGTTTTCATAGCCACAGTTTTTGACCATAGGTTGTTTCTTGAAAATTATCCAAGGACTACCTTTGTGCATTTAAAAAAAAATTGTTCATTATATTCTTCATTCCACCAAAAAGCCCACATAAATAAAAATTCCATGAATTACCAGATGGATAGTTAAAGTGGGGGCAGCCACTGCTTTTTCTTTCACAAATCTTTATGTCATTGCAATATTTGCAATGTACCCTTGGTTATACATACAAATTGGGGGCCGAGAGGCTGGAGAGCAGCCCCGTGGAAGGACATCTGGGGAGTTGAGTTGATGGCAAGTTGACAGCAGCCAACAATGTGCCCTGGTAGTCAGAAGGGCAAACTGTGTCCTGGGGTGCATCAAGCACAGCATAACTAAATGGTCAAGGGAGGTGATTGTCCCACTGTACACTGCACTGATGCAGCCCCATCTCGAGTACTGTGTACAGTTTTGGGCACCTCAGTATAGGGACATCAGACTATTAGAGTGTGTCCAGAGGAGAGTGACCAAGATGGTGAAGGGCCTCAAGGGCAAGACTTACGAGGAGCAGCTGAGGTCAGTTGGTTTGTTCAGCTTGGAGAAGAGAAGGCTGAGTGCCCTCGTCACAGTCTACAGCTCTCAAGGGGGGCAGTGGAGGGGGAGATGCTGATCTCCTCTCTCTGGTGACCAGCGATAGGACACGGTGAAATGGAATGAAGCTGCGTCAGAGGAAGATCAGGTTGGGCATTAGGAAAACTTCACTGAGGGGGTGGTTGGTCACTGGAACAGGTTCCCCAGGGAAGCAGTCACAGCACCAAGCCTGTCAGAATTCAAGGAGCATCTGGACAATACTTAGTGATATGGTTTAGTTTTAGGTAGTCCTACAAGGAGGAGGGAGTTGGACTCAGTAATCCTTACGGGTCCCTTCCAACTTGAGACATTCTATGATTCAGTGATTCTGTTCTTGAGCCTGCTCAAAAATTAGCGGCAGAATACCATTTTCTTCAAAATTGTTTAAGATTGATTGAAATTAATGAAATATTGTTATATATATTGTACATAATATATTGTGCATAAAATATTAATGTAAGTGAACTGTCTTTTTTATGAACACTAATATGACTTTCAAAAATTCAGAACATACAGTTGTTTGGATTAATCATCTATGATGTTACATCTGTGTGTAGTGGTAGAAGGTCTTTACTATCAGTTTAAAATTAATAATGTAATAAATAAGACCGGCCCTTACTTATGTTGCGAAAGCTTAGTTTAGCTTATTCCAGACTTCTGAATAGTGATATTCCACAAGCCTCAATTCTATTAATTGTACTGGTGTTTCTAAAATTATTTTTTAGGAACAGTTAGAAAGTGAGAGCATGAAATTGAAGCAACTTGAGGACAAAACCAATCAAAAGGAAAGGAAGCTTTTATCTATTATTTCCAACCAAGAAGATAAAATAAGAACTCTGAAAAGCAAATTGAAAGAATTAAATGAAGCACAAAAGGGTATACAGATGCCAGCGTATAAAAGGGAGGTAAGATAAGAAAGCAAGTAGAGGTAAAATGAAAAAATCAAACATTTGTAAATTATTACTTCTTTCAAACATGTTTATACTAATTATTCACTGATTTTAAATTTCAGGATTATATAATTACTAGAAAATCATTAAAGTATATAAAGCACATAGGGAACATCAAATTATGAAATACATATTGGTTGGTTCATGTGTTAATTATGTTGTGTTATGTCATTAGTATTTCAGTATTTGTAAAAACTCCAGGTTAGCATTTCTGTTTTGTAATTTTCAGTTGGAAGTTTTCACCATGATTGAGTTGATTTTTTTCACTTCTATGCCACCTTATTTTTCTTACACAGTAGCATCCAGGATGTTATTCTGCCCTTGTGGGGTAGGTAAAGTGCAGTCATCAGTGTGAATCTAACCACATAAACATGTTTTAGCTAGCTAATTTGAAGTGAACATAGATAAGGGTAGGAGCACAGCAGAACTTGTTGCTATTAGACTTCCCAAGCGTTGCTTAACTTACTGTGGCAAGCATTTGTAACCCACCTTGCTAGGTGTAAGGCAGCTCAAATGTGTCTACAGGAGCTGCAGCTGTACTGTACTGCAAGGTAGAACAAACCTGTAGGCTATGGATCTGTGATTATAAACAATGTGCCATTGAAATCAGCTGATTTGGCAGATATATGATCAAGTTCTGTGTCTGGTTTGGAGCACGTATGAACTACCCAGGCCATCTGGTAATGTAGATCTAGTGGAACTGCAGCTTAGTGACTGGTTATTATAAAAACTTTCCTTAATGCCTGGCAGATTTAAAACTATGTAATACTAGAGTGAACCACAAGGTGGTAGTCAAAGTTAATAACTTATTTACAAACCTGCTGGAATGCTTGACATACTAGCTTGTGATGTGTTCATTGAAAATTTCAGTGAATAAATTGATTTTTAAGTGCTAAAATTGCTGGATACCTCACTAACAAGCTTATACACAATACATAATCTTACTTTATACATGATTGAAACTGAATTACAGTCAAGGAATATTCTTAGAACCAGTTTCCTTTCAAGGGAGTATGAGCAGAGGAATGCCACACTGAGTTGCCAGGTTAAACTAAAAATGGAAATTTCACACAAACAGTAAAAATCTGCTTTTGTCATTTTGTGACTGTTTTGAGAGCTTCCGAAAGGGCTAGGTGAAAGATTCCATGTCATTTTTATTCATATCAGGGTAAAGAACAAAATTAATGTGCTAACCTCTGATCAATATTTTCATATTTTACTTCAAGGTGAAAAGTAAGGAAGTTGTTCCAGATAAGACTGAATTATCTCTAGGGATCTCTGGTATTTCACATGTGCTTGAAAGGTAAATACTTTTGCAGCCTTTTTGAAATTTGCTTTTAATTGTCTTTTCTGCCATTAAATAAGATGAGCTATTTCCCTCTTTCCTACACAGTAACTTAAAAATTAACTTGATTTTTAAAACTTAAAAATTAGAGGGTGGCAGGGAGGGGCAAGCAGCAGAGGTCAAAGAGCTGATGTGGGAAGGTAATAAAGCCAGCAACTATGTGGAATCATAGCTGGGTCTTTGCAA